GTGATTGTTATGTTATTAAATATAGCTATGATGGTCAAGTTAAGAAAAACATTACCTTATATATTTCTGGCTGGTAAGTTAAGGATAAACAATTATCTTATATATTTCTGGCTGGTAAGTTAAGAATAAACAATTATCTTATATATTTCTGGCTGGTAAGTTAAGAATGAACAATTATCTTATATATTTCTGGCTGGTAAGTTAGGAATAAACAATTATCTTATATATTTCTGGCTGGTAAGTTAAGAATAAACAATTATTTTATATATTTTTGGCTGGTAAGTTAAGAATAAACAATTATCTTATATATTTGTGGCTGGTAAGTTAAGAATGAACAATTATCTTATATATTTCTGGCTGGTAAATTAAGAATAAACAATTATCTTATATATTTCTGGCTGGTAAGTTAAGAATAAACAATTATCTTATATATTTCTGGCTGGTAAGTTAAGAATAAACAATTATTTTATATATTTTTGGCTGGTAAGTTAAGAATAAACAATTATCTTATATATTTCTGACTGGTAAGTTAAGAATAAACAATTATCTTATATATTTCTGGCTGGTAAGTTAAGAATAAACAATTATCTTATATATTTCTGACTGGTAAGTTAAGAATAAACAATTATTTTATATATTTCTGGCTGGTAAGTTAAGAATAAACAATTATCTTATATATTTCTGGCTGGTAAGTTAAGAATAAACAATTATCTTATATATTTCTGACTGGTAAGTTAAGAATAAACAATTATTTTATATATTTCTGGCTGGTAAGTTAAGAATAAACAATTATCTTATATATTTCTGGCTGGTAAGTTAAGAATAAACAATTATCTTATATATTTTTGGCTGGTAAGTTAAGAATAAACAATTATCTTATATATTTTGTGCTGGTAAGTTAAGAATAAACAATTATCTTATATATTTCTGGCTGGTAAGTTAAGAATAAACAATTATCTTATATATTTCTGGCTTATAAGTTAAGAATAAACAATTATCTTATATATTTCTGGCTGGTAAGTTAAGAATAAACAATTATCTTATATATTTCTGGCGGGTAAGTTAAGAATAAACAATTATCTTATATATTTCTGGCTGGTAAGTTAAGAATAAACAATTATCTTATATATTTCTGGCTTATAAGTTTAGAATAAAAACAGTATCTCATATATTTATAAAACAGCACTTAAATTCAAGAATTTTGAGGGTAATCCACTGTGCCTATTGGTTACAATCATGGAATGATCCAAAAATTAAAAACTGAAACATGAATTTTGGTTTTAGTTTCTGGTTATTATGTTGGTTTTCTGTTTCCTTTAAAGTTCTGATTTATTTTTGTAGGGAGCAAAGTCAAGTGCAGATGAACAAGGTACAGCAGCTTTAAAAGCTGTAGAAAAAGATGATGAACTAGGTGGTGCAGCTGTTCAGGTAATCAAAATAAAACCATTTAGTGCCTTAAATTACATTTTTAAATACACTTCTGTCAAACTGTGTCCAGTATTTTTTTATCACTTTAGAAACATTCTCAAGGACATGTAAGATATTTGAGTGATAATAAATGAAATGTATGATATTTGAGTGATAATGAATGACATGTATGATATTTGAGTGATAATAAATGAAATGTATGATATTTGAGTGATAATGAATGACATGTATGATATTTGAGTGATAATGAATGACATGTATGATATTTGAGTGATAATGAATGATATGTATGATATTTGAGTGATAATGAATGACATGTATGATATTTTAGTGATAATGAATGACATGTGTGATATTTTAGTGATAATGAATGACATGTAAGATATTTTAGTGATAATGAATGACATGTATGATATTTTAGTGACAATGAATGACATGTAAGATATTTTAGTGATAATGAATGACATGTATGATATTTTAGTGACAATGAATGACATGTAAGATATTTTAGTGATAATGAATGACACGTATGATATTTGAGTGATAATGAATGACATGTAAGATATTTGAGTGATAATGAATGACATGTAAGATATTTGAGTGATAATGAATGAAATGTATGATATTTGAGTGATAATGAATGACATGTATGATATTTCAGTGATAATGAATGACATGTATGATATTTTAGTGATAATGAATGTCATGTATGATATTTTAGTGACAAAGAATGACATGTAAGATATTTGAGTGATAATGAATGACGTGTATGATATTTTAGTGATAATGAATGACAATGAATGACCTGTATGATATTTTAGTGACAATGAATGACATGTATGATATTTTAATGACAATGAATGACATGTATGATATTTTAGTGACAATGAATGACATGTATGATATTTTAGTGATAATGAATGATATTTTAGTGATAATGAATTGCATGTATGATATTTTAGTGAATGACGTGTATGATATTTTAGTGATTATGAATGACATGTATAATATTTTAGTGATAATGAATGACATGTATGATATTTTAGTGATAATGAATGACAATGAATGACATGTATGATATGTATGATAATTTAGTGATAATGAATGACATGTATGATATTTTAGTGACAATGAATGACGTGTGATATTTTAGTGATAATGACGTGTGATATTTTAGTGATAATGAATGACATGTATGATATTTTAGTGATAATGAATGACATGTATGATATTTTAATGATAATGAATGACATGTATGATATTATTAATTATAGATTCGTGTTGTTCAGAATAAAGAACCACCACACTTTATGTCAATGTTTGATGGCAAGATGGTAGTTTTCTCTGTAAGTAGACTTTCCTTTTATTAAACTGTTCTTTCAACTCTTCTTTCCAAAGAACGTTCTACTAAAAAGCCTTTACCTGTATAGATTCTCAAAATACTTACCATATACTTGTGAATAGACCATTCGGCCTAAAGGTTTGCTTTAACGTTAACATTGGATAAATATTTTTTTGTCTTGATGAATAATCAGTAATTGATTTGTTCTGAGATCCTGAAGGTGACAAAAATGTTTTGGATTTTGTCTGACAGTCTACATGTTTTAATATGTAGGGTGTTTTGGATTTTGTCTGACAGTCTACATGTTTTAATATGTAGGGTGGTAAAGCTGGTTGGAGTGGAGGAAATAATAATGATGGACCAGGTGATAAATATATGTTACAAGTTCGTGGTATGTCTAAACTTAACTCTAAAGCTGTCCAAGTGGAACTTCGTGCTGCCTCTTTGAATTCTAATGATGTATTTGTTATCTTCACTAAAACAGCTGTTTATATCTGGGCTGGAAAGGTGAGTAGAAAGGTGTTACTAAAACAGTTGACATTCCTAGGCATGTAGTATTCAGTGGAACTCATATTTCCAGTCATGGATATATCTATGACAAGCAGTAATCCAAACTGTCAAAATGTAAAATTGATATGTGAACACTATTACTGATTGGCTTTGCTAAAATATTCCTGTTTCTGAGACTAAGGTATTCTAGGTCAAAACCTGTCCCTCAGCCAATTATATGAGGAGAATGTTTTAGAGTTTAAGGACAGTTTTGTATACTGTTCTGAATGACAAAATTTGTTTTTATTTAAGGGCTGTACAGGAGATGAAAGAGAAATGGCTAAATTAGTAGCCAGTAGATCACCCAGGTGAGTTTTATATTCATCAATCTATAGCATATTCTTTCAGGATTATCATGAAGCTTATAAATATAATCGTCAAATGTTGAGTTTCTGTTCAATAATACTTGAAAGGGTCATGTGATAATTGTATGGTTAAACTAACTAATTTAAATCTATTCAATATTTGGGTAAAGGTTAAGATATAAAAATAGGTCTCTTTGGACAGTTGTAAGTTCTGGGCATCTTGATTCCACATCAATCAATAAACTGTCAAAAACTGAAAAGAACAATTGAATAGAGATTAGATGAATTAGTTGATAATCAATGGACTGACAGAAGTAATGTAATTAAGCTGTAAAAAAATGGATTTGATATATTTTAGACAAGCAACAATGGTGTTTGAGGGTCAAGAGAAAGATGATTTTTGGAAGGTATTGGGAGGTAAAGAAGAATATGCCCATGATAAACGATTAGCAGTAAGTGTGCATCACTTACATGTTCTCTCTTCTCAGCATTGTTAGATCCCTTCAATCCCTGGCAGGTCTGAATATTAGTACCAGAGCACATTGTAAACTAATAATGGCAGGGAACCTAGCCCATGTTTCACAAAAACATCTGGGAAAAAAATCCAAAAGTTTGGAACTGAAAGTACAAACGTTTTCATAAGTTTTGTTAATCATAAGATGTTACAAAAAAGAAAAGGTAATGGTTGTATAGAATGAACAGCAGGGTTGTGCATGCTTGTAAACTATATAGCAAGAGTTCATGAGTTTGGTTTGTGATCTAAAGGGAACCATGTGTGCCCCTAAGACACAATTTAGGATCACAATATTTTGAAGAGGATTTTAAACTAGATTGGTTTGGTTTGGTTTTTACACAATATTTAGTATAAAATGTTTTTGTTTTTTCATCAGGCAGAAGATAGTACTCATCCACCAAGATTATTTCAACTATCTAACGCTTCAGGTAAATTTACCTGTGTAGCAATACCAGATTTTGTTCAGGTAAATATTCATCAACAAAAGTATCATAAGGTTCTTCAAACAGATACAAATGTCCACTCAAATATATAAACATATTTAATTACCTCTATTCACTCAATGGTTATAATTGGTGTGCATTATATTCACAATTATACAGTAACTATACATCACACTTTTGAAAGTGAAACAATTGACATTGCCTGTATTACATTTTGCAATGATATTCTCTGAATATATGAAACACCGTGCTGAATAGGTAATGAATATAATATTGTAATTTCAGAGTGATTTAGTAGTAGAAGATGTTATGTTATTAGATGCCTGGGATACTATCTATGTATGGATTGGTAATGAGGCCAATAAACAAGAGAAGGATGAAGCCACAAGAGTTGCAATTGTAAGTACTAACATAAATTTGGGTGAAGAATTAAAAAAAAGTTATCACATTCCTTTATATCTCAGTTCTTTCTAAGTCATCTTTCCTCGTTTTTCCAGCCAAACCAGCTTGATTGGATACAACTAATCTGAGAAAAATCAATGCCAAAAGCAGTGTGTCCCAACCCTTTTCACACCTTGGAGTAATCATTTGAACCCCTCACACCCCCAAAACAATGGACATTCAAAACTTTGCTACACACTCTAATTGACTGCATATAATGCAGTTCTGTCATAAAACATTGAGACCCAAGTCAATTTTCACGGAAGAATCTGTAGTGGGAGGTCTGTGAACTAGGACTAAGTTAGCTCAATAATGCACCAAAGGTACTGGAACCAAATAATATCTCCCAAAAAACCTTCTCTTACAACAGAGTTGTCAACACCCGACACCCAAGTCCCACACACCCAAGGGGTGAAAACACTGCATATTGGGAACCAGGGGCCAAGAGGTTTGGCCAAGGATCAGATTTTAGAAAGGCTTGACATAAACAGAAGTGGTATATTTGTTGTTTCTGACAAGAGATCAACTAAATTCTGTTTGAAGTTCTATAATGTCTGGAGTCACCATAAACCTAATGTTTGTTTTCAGGAATATTTAAAGACAGATCCTTCAGGTCGTGATGAAGATACACCAATATTAAAAATAAAACAAGGTTTTGAACCTCCATCATTTACTGGTTTCTTTGGTGTATGGGATCGAGAATTGTGGAGTGTAAGCCATTTTTATTTAAAATCATTACTGTCCTAGAAAATAAATGGAAAATTCACATGCTTGTAGTTTACATTAAACCCATGTACTTATCTTATCTGTAGTGATAACATTTCAAATATTTGAGAATAATTTTCTGTTTATAAAACTGTATATTTTGTGATCAACATTGATAGGAAGTCCATTCAAATATACTTTTTGATTCAAATCTCAATTTTGAAAGTCAAGTAAACATTCTTCTCTTACAGCATGGTAAAACATTTGAAGAAATGAAAGAAGAATTAGGATCACAAGATGTTTCTATTGATGTTGTTAAAGATGTAAGTAAAGTAATATAATGTTATATTTATATTAATGATTTGCCTTTTCATAGCAAGTATGACTTTACATGTTGAGTGAACCCTGTGTCAATATATCCAAATATTATACAGTTCTTATTTTTGATCAGTTTCAATGAGCATTGCTAATAAAGTCTAGATACTTGAAGAGTAAATTGATTCAATGATTTATATAATCTACTATTCTCTTTATTATTAATGTATTGAGCACTATTTTAATAGTGAAAACATTTTGTTATTGTAAACTACTGTATATAATTTGCCTACACGAACAAGGGCAAATATTGTCCCAGTTGAAAAGTGACATCATTTGTAGATTATGCATCTGTTATGTTAATTTTAGACTATGGCAAATGGTGCACCTGATTTTGATGCTGTGACTAAGTATCCAATTGAAAAACTACAAGTGAACCCCGAAGATCTACCAGAAGGTGTTGATCCAGCTGCTAGAGAGGTGAGAGTTTATTTTCTTACATAAAAATAAGGAAATAGCCAATCTTAGAACCACATTCTCAAGCTAAGAAAATTGAATGTGCTTTTTGAATACTTTTATGCTCTTTTCAACATGATTTGGTATATGCTATACCCCAAGAATGTAGCAGTCATGGCTTGTTAAGGTATTTCCATGAAGTCTTTTCCAAAGTAAGCATCATTCCTAATGCATCTTTGACACTTTTCATTTCTTTTCCAGATTCATTTAATGCATGACGATTTTGAGAAGTATTTTGGAATGAATTTTAGTGACTTTAATTCCAAACCAGCATGGAAGAAAACTCAATTAAAGAAAGCTAATAAATTATTTTAATTAAGCATTTATGATTAACTACAATCTTTAACTGGCAATTACATTATTATTCATAATCATACATTATAACATATGACCGTTTTATTTTGGTAACTGAATGGTCCCTGAGAACGGATTATCAGATCTTATTTGGCTTACTTTGAATAAGCTTATACAGACCATCTTGCTACCAAAATAATCACAACATAAAATATAATTATAGATCTAAAACCCACCCATTTCACAGTAGAATATATTATATTAGTAGATCTTAGACTGGTATTGGTTGGTGAGCATTGAATTCAAACTAAAAATTGCTGGTTCAGATGAGACACACTTTATTTAAAAAAAAAGTAAGGAAAAACTAAGGCAATAACATTCAAATTAAATAGACTAACTCTAACTAGATGAATACAGAAAATAACAAGCCAACTATCTCGATACTTAATACAAAAATATCTTGTTTTTCTAATAAATTATATGTTGGGTTTTTCACCAAAGCTTGAGATCAAAAACAAATGTTAAAGAGTTATGAGAAACTAAGAAAGTTCTTCTGTTCATTTAGTAAAACTTTGTTTAATTAAGTATATTCTACAATGACATTGTTCTTTATAACGTAGAGTTTATTTTTTACCTATTATTATTATTATTATGAGATGTTCCTATGTTATTATTATTAGTATAAATATTAACTTGAACATTCCATATCTATTGTTATATGACTCTTCTTTTTGTCTTGATTTAAGGCTACAGTTAACCATATAATTAGAGACATTGAGGTAAAAGAAAAATTCTGGGTTTATATTTTCAATGTGATAAATTACAGAGAGTCATGACATTTTTTTTAACATGTCTGACAAAACCATGAGAACATTCCCAGCCATGCCAATATTTGCGAACGTGTATTTTGTAATTTGGTTTACTGATTTCTAAATCAATCTTCTTCATTCCAACATTAAACATTATGATTTCTTAAAAGCAAAAAATGTATTTTGCAATAATTTTTGATTTTTTATGACATTCCTACTTGTTATATTTTTGACATAGTTTTATCATTGACATTGTTATAGCTATTATGATAAATATTTATATAAAGATATGGACTTGTTATCTCAAGGTATTCTACAATAATGAAGTTATTTTTAAGTACAAGTTGATAGGTACTAATATTATATTGACATGATCTGTTTTACCTCAATTCATTCATATAGTATTTTTTTTTACTTGAAAAAAAGGTTTTGTATTACAAATTATTTTTTGCTCAAATTATTGTAAACTATATTCTGCGAAGATTTAGATCTCTATGCTCCAAATCTTCATCTTCTTTGCATTTGTACTTTGACATAAATTACTTTGGACATTAATTTTGAGGTAAATTGAATTTTTACTTTGAAGTAAATTAACTTTTACTTTGAAGTAAATTGAATTTTGTCTTTGAAGTAAATTGAATTTTGTCTTTGAAGTAAATTGAATTTGTCTTTGAAGTAAATTGAATTTTGTCTTTGAAGTAAATTGGATTTCGTCTTTGAAGTAAATTGAATTTTTTTTTTGAAGTAAATTGAATTTTTTCTTTTTCTTTGAAGTAAATTGAATTTTTTCTTTGAAGTAAATTGAATTTTTTCTTTGAAGTAAATTGAATTTTGAAATGAGTTGCATTTGTACTTCCCTTAGTTTTGTTTTATATAGCATAATGAATAATTTGGATGTAGACTTGATTTCAATATAAAAGGTCTTTCTGTATCTCTGTTACATTTATAATTTTTAGTTGTACAGAAATATTATAAATGATAGTAAAATGATCAAGTTGATATTGAACAAAATTGTATATTTCAATTTTTTTTTTACATTATCTGTTTATGAATAATATATGTTATCATAATTTTCAGTTATATTTCTATTTTTTACTTTCTGAGGGTATAAGGATAAAAAAGATAATGCTTGTTATGTAAAAAAGTAATATTAAAATGCTAACAATGACTTCAAGCTTGTTTCATTACAGGATATCCTCTTTTTAAACTTTCTAGCCATTGCCTGTTTTAAATTCCAACCTGGAGGTATTTACAACTATAGTATCAGGTTATATGGTTCAATATATCTGCCTGTCACCCAATTTCCCTATCATTCTGTTTAAAGGCCGCAGTCGGCAAATGTCAAAAAAAAACTTGTGTGAATAAATTGTCTGAACAAATACTTTCCACTTCCTGGAAGTTGCGCTCAAAAATGTTGATATCAGTAGTAAGAAGCAATTAAAAGACCCACTTACATATTAGCATTATTTCTAACAGATCACATACACTCATTTGTCTATTAATCTGAAATATCATTATACTATTTATACTGTTCAATTGTTTCATTAACTGTTTAATGACTAGTTCAGATCAATTCATTACCGCCTGAAAGTCTTTAATTCTGTCAGGATAAGCCGGAAGCAGTAAATAAATATATATCAATTAAAGCGATAACTATAAGTCGTGTGCTACTGATATTTTTCTATATTAATTTATAAATGTCAACTGAATGATTAAGAGATGTCCAATGTGTTCTTGACATTAGTTTTGGACAGCAATAAACGTTTAAATAAAGTTTACTAAATTTCCAGAAAAGATCACAAATCTTTCATGATCTCGATTCTAATAAATTGGCCAAGTATTTTTCTGCCCAAACTTTATGAACTGTTTTCAAGACTTATTTCGTTTGTTCAATAAAGAGATTTCAGACAAACGCGTATCTATGGAATGAATTAATATATTCCATTGGATATTCACAAACTCTATGTAAATACAACTCTATTAGGTTGTTATTGAATGCATACATTTTTATTTCTGTAAAGGGACACGTTCACCATCCGTTTGAAGAAATCGTACCTTAGTCTCAGAAACGGGAAGTCCACCGTCACAATTTGTGCTTAGAATTATCTGCGTTTGAAAATTAAGATGACGACTTATTTTTTTAGACAGTCAAATATAGAAAAGACATATAGAAATAGAAAATAAAATTCCTAATTTCAGGTATTACGGGATTTTCTAGTTTTTCTGAAGACTTTTACATATCTTCCAAACCCAAATCAGCCCCTTGAAAATGGTGGATCGTGGCCTTTAAAGAAAGTTATGTACGTAAAAGCGACGTGTATACCACCCGCAGAAATAATGTTATTAATAGGATTGTCTTTAGAATGAACAGGACCTGTGGCAAAACCACAAGTAAAGGTCGTCCAGATCTATGAGCAATGACCTCCACCACTGTTTTCTTCAGGCATTTCTTGTTATTTTAATACGACATTTCAAGTGCATTCTTAATAGACTACTTTCGAAATCTATGATTGCAACGCACTAATCTCCCAGTGCATTCTTGGAGGTAAATGTGGTTTCATTCATTTTTCCTTCCTAATCACTAAAACACTAAAAACACTTAAAAGAAATATATCTTATCTTTTAATAGCTATCGGATCCTTTACCCTTTCATGCAATTCATTCATCTTTCCTTCAATAAATATCATCATTTTTTAGTAATCAATAAATATCACGATCTTTTACTCTTCATGATATTTTAGTATTCAATAAATATGATCTTTTACTCTTCGAAAACATATAATGATCTTTTAGTATTCAGTAAATATCATAATTTTTTACTCTTCAAAATTAACATCATCATTTAGTGTTCAATAAAATCATAATCTTTTACCCTTCAATAAATATCATAATCTTCTACTCTTCAATAGATATAATGGTATGTTACATATTACTCTTCAATATATATCAATATCTTCTACTCTTCAATAAATATTATTATATTTGAATATCATAATCTTTTCTTCAATAAATATCATCATTTTTTAGTATTCAATGGATAATTAGATCTTTTACTCTTCATGATATTTTAGTATTCAATAAATATCATGATCTTTTAGTATTTAGTAA